CCCCGCGCTCTCCGCGGTTCAAGGGTGACGTTACGTCACTTCCGGGCGGGGGACGACGAGGTGCTTCTTTCACCTCTACCTATAGGCCTAGAACAGCCTAGAAAGAGGGACTCTTCCATCTGGCCCCGCCCCCGCAGCCGCGGCCAATCCTGGGGCCCACTGATGGGGGCGTGTCTAAGGGCGGGGCCGGACAGGAGCGAGTGCGCCTGCGCGCGGCGTGGCCTTTTCACGTGTCCAGAGTCGGAGTGCGGGTTTCTCTTTGCTGCGGCGGCGGGACGGTGCAGACTGAGGTCGGGGCAGGAGCCATGGTGAGTTCTGCAGGCCCGACTGCAGGCCAGCTCAGTTGCCCGGACCCCTGTGCCCTGCAGAGTGGCCAGTCCGCTTCTTCCCTCCTCCCGAGCTCAGTGCACGCGCGGAACCGGTACGCGCGCGGCCCTGCAGTCTCCTGGCTTTGGGTTCGATGCCCTAGAGAAAGCATGGCCCCAGCAGAGGTCCAGCCCCAGGGTTTCCTGCAAATCGTCAAAATCTGGAGGAAGGAAGATACTTGACCTTGTGTAAACTACGGTTGCCCTTAACCGCAGTCTGATGGCAACGACTACCCCTAACAAGATCTACGGAGTGGAAATCGCACTTGCGCCTCTCCGAGCGGATGATCTGAGCTTGACTGTTAATTCTGAAAGCCAGAACGTGTTCTGTGTAACGGTTGTGTGACATTGGCTGTTGAAATTGTAATCGTATAACGATCTTACCTCAACATTTCTCTCCACAGGCAGGACAGGCATTTAGGAAGTTTCTCCCGCTGTTTGACCGAGTATTAGTTGAAAGGAGCGCAGCCGAAACTGTCACCAAAGGCGGCATTATGCTTCCAGAAAAATCTCAAGGCAAAGTACTGCAGGCAACTGTGGTAGCTGTGGGATCCGGCTCTAAGGGAAAGGTAACAAGGGCTGTCGTGGGATTAATTTATTGTGTGTGTGAAATGGAAAAAAAATCCTGGGTTATTGAAGTAGTTGCTTTATTTTCAGGATAATTTTTTATTTCACTCTTAAGGAAAATAATTATAAAATTAACTTGATTGCTTTAGATGGTGTGGATTTCCCGAGTCTTAAAATTGTTTTCAGTAACTATTTGGTTGCCTAGCCTGACCATCATTGTAAATTTTTGGTTAGACAAAGGATAATAGTTAAATGGGGCTTTGTAATAACTGACCCTGAACTGTGGGTTTAACCTCTTAACACTGAACTTGTGCTAGCTGTTCATCGTAGGATCCGTTGGCATACCTATGACAGAAGCAGCTGGAGCTGTTCTGTAGGGCTTCTCCGGTTACCTAGTGTCAGCCAAAATGCACAGTAAATGAATACTGTGTATATTTGTATTTTCAGGTCAAATAATGGTAACTGCATCAATCCTAAGTTTTTGTGGAAAGAAGTCAGAGATGACCATTTCATATATGGTTTTTAAAATTGCTTTATTTCAGAGACCATAAGTTAATATTTAACATTTAACAGAGTTAGCTTTGGTTAACTAAGGATAGTTTTTCCTTTTTTGGATTTTTGGGTTTTTTTTGGTACAAGGGATCGAATTCGGGACCTTTGGCTTGCAAGGCAGGCAGTGGAACCACTGAGCTAAATCCCTGGCCCATCCTTTTTTGGTTAACACTGCAATTAGGTTTTAGTTTAAGCCACAGTATGTTCATTTTTTCAATTTGCCTTTCTACGATATGTTATTTGTTGTGAAGAATTGTAATTTTAGTACAAATTAGTATCACTTAACCACTAAGCACCTTTCAACACACCATATTTGAGTGATCACATTTCATCAGTTGTAGTGACGTATGTTAGTTACCCATTGATGTACTAATGTCTTTTCTAATAAACTTATTTATTTTCTTAAGAGTGGAGAGATTCAGCCAGTGAGTGTCAAAGTTGGAGATAAAGTTCTTCTTCCAGAATACGGAGGCACCAAAGTAGTTCTAGATGACAAGGTATATAAACTTACTCATTGTAAAAAGAGGTTGAACATTTGCTACTACTTGTCTTAACTAACAATTTATCTATTTGCAGGATTATTTCTTATTTAGAGATGGTGACATTCTTGGAAAATATGTAGAGTGAAGTAAATCACTGTTGAAACGGCGTCACAATGCCGCCCATTCCACTGAAGTTCTGCAGTCTTTCATCATGTAAATAATTTCCATGTCTCTTTTGTAATAAACTGATGATAACTAAACTAATGACATCCATTGTCTGAAGTTTAGTTTCACTGTACTGGTATACACATTTCCAAATAAAACATGTAAATGAGTGGTTAATCTTTTATTAAGTAATTTAAAGTGACTTTAGAGTTCTCAATATTTCAACTTATCTGCAAAGAATTCTGTAAAGAATTTCTAGGTAAATTATTTGCATTGAACACAGGCTCATCACACAGATTGACATTAATACAAAGCTACAGTTAGGCTTTGAAGGAAATAAAGTTAGTAACACTCTGGCTTCAGATGTAACAAACTTTTAGCAGAATATACTTTCTCCTCCCTAGAGTCTAGTTTCCTTTTATGTCTTGTTTGGCAAATTCTGTATTTAGAAAAGTTTTTTTCCTGCCCAAATACTTATGTTTTGTGGGGGGTGTGCATGTGTGCGCACATGTATGTTGCTGGGTATTGAACCCAGGGGCTTTGAACCAAATTCATCCTGGGGCCTGTCTTTTTTGTTGAGACAACACCTTACTAAGCTGTCTGGGCTGGCTCAAACTTGTGAACCTCTTGCCTCAGCCTCCCAGAGTGCTGGAATCAGGCATACACCAGCCTGCCCAGCTTACATTTCATTTTTGGCACCACTATATCTTGGCAAAAAATTCAAAGTAAGACATAATGGCTATCATAAGGTGAGTGAGTTCTTTCTATTTTTTAGGCCCATCAGTTGCATTTCTAGTGTTTCATGGGTGATGATCGGCTTAATTTTTCAACTGAGCTGAGTGCTGATCTCATGTTTCAGGTGATACTGAAGTAAGTGCCAAAGGGTTAAATGACAGCCAGTCTCACAGCTCAGCAGGAAGTGGCAAGGTGGAGTTTACACAGGGGTGGGGTGGTCACTTCCACAAGCTGTTTAAAACTTGGTCCTTTATGGCCTCTGCTACCTTTTTACTTCCAAGCATTTAGTACCCAGTTTTCAGTTCCGGTAATAAACACAGGTATGAGATAGGCATTTAGTAATGAGCATTTGTTGAATTAGTAAGAATGGATAGACTGATAACTGGATTTGTGCACAGCAGCTAGGGAGAAGAGTTAGCATGCTGAACCTATACCAGGTTCGACAGCCGCCAGGCTGCACTACCTTAGCCAGCAGCTCTTTGTACTAAGTACTTGGCATATTACTCGCTAATTTGAGTTACTTGCAAGTTAGTCTGATGTCATAAAGGTTGTGTCCCAAATACAATTTTGGAGTGCTGGGGATTGAACCCCGGTCCAGCATGCTAAGCAAGCATTCTCCCACTAGCTAAACTTCCTGTCCTCCATTTGTGTGTAAATGACCTGGAATGTTGGTCTTTCACTGAGTAAAGTATGCAGTTTTAGTTTTTTGGAAGGCCAGAGCCTGAGACATGCTACGCAAGTTCTCTACCACTGAGCTGACTTGTCCCAGCCCAAGGAGCATGCGTGTTCCTTGTTTTTAACGTATTCGTGTGTGTTTAATGTGAGTGTTCACATTTATGCATGTGTTTATGTCTGGTATTCTGAGGCTTAATTTTTGTCAAACTTAGATACTAGGATGTGCCTAAAAGCTCACCAGTATCCGGACAAGTCATGTTTCACACCCTGCCTCCAGTGCAGCTAGATCATGGGCCTGCACAGCAGAACCTTGTGAGCGAGCACAAGTTTGTGTTACCAGTCACAATCATACTTTCTTCCCTTCTGTAAAAAAATCTTTGAGACTCTTTATTTTTGCCTTTCTCCTTGTAGCATTTTCCTGTTGAGCAAACGGTAGATAGCAACATACTGGTCTGAAATGGAGGTCTGCATTCCCAAGGCCTTAAGTTTCTCACAACAAAGTTCTTTGTCTTGTTTTACATCTCACCATTTTTTAAAAAAAAATGTTTTTTAAGCAATTCTGCCAAGCAAGCAATGAGACTACTTGCGTGGTTCAAAATCCTGATTTAGCAGGTTTGGATGAGACCATGAGAATGGATACCAGGTATCTGCAGGGGTGAGCCAAGGTGGAAAGCTTTGCCTCAGATCTCAAAGTCCCTTTGCTCAGTCCCTGGACATCATCTGGGAGATTAATGGGAAGGCCCTGGCCTTTGGACTGGATTTCCTTTCTTGGGCGAGTTCCCAGCCACAGGACCTTGAGCAAGTTCCATCTCCTGCGTCAAGTTCCTTTGTTCTTTCTGATAAGCTTTTTCCTCCTCTTTCATTTTGGCTTTGATTTTGGTTATGTTTAGCACTTGCAGGAAGTCACTTTGGTGTATTTGAATTAATGTTTTCCCTTATGGCTTCTGGGTGTTATGTCAAACTGAAAAGTTCTCCAATATTCGAAAGGTCTACTGTGGTTTCTCCAGGTACTTTCAAAAAATACTGTAATCATGGCTGTATCTGGAGATTTCCTGTTGAAAGACTCACAGAGGATTAGGGATGTAGTGGAGGGGTAGAAAACTTGCCTACTGTGTGTAAGGCCCTGGGTTTAATTGCGACCCTGTTACAGATGAAACCTGAACACAGTATAGTTGTGCAGTTTAGCATCAAAGCCAGGAGGAGTGGTGGTACATGTCTGAAAGTCCAGCACGTCAGAAGACCGAGTTAGGATTGAGCCCAGCCTGGGCTGGCTACTTACTGACTTAGACCCTGTCTCAAAATTAAAATTGTGTACGTCGTGAGTGTGTACTGAGAAAAGATCTCAAGGTGTAGCCCAGGCTGGCTTTGAGCTCTTGGTGATCTTCTTGCCTCAGCCTGTCAAGTGCTGGAATACCAGGTGTCTTAAACTCATTTTTAAAACATACTAGGCATTTTTCTAAGCAGTGGTGATGAAAGAATAGATAAGAGAATACAGTGAACAACTGAAAGAATAACTTTCGAGATAAGAGTTGGCCTGCTTTTGGCAGAAGGCCTGTTTCTCACCATGCAGACCCTTCCCAAGGCTGCTCTTTTACGTAGCTGAGTGTTGTAAGAGGGGGAAGCTGCTGTTTATTATTACTGCTATTATTTTGCACCACTGAGCATTGAACCCAGGACCTATGCACTGAGCTACATCCCCTAGCCCTTTTTATATCAATTGGTTTTTTTTGAGACAAAGTCTTGCTATGTAGTTCAGGCAGGCCTCCAACTCCTATAATCCTCCTGCCTTGGCCTCCCATGTGCTGTACGAGGGTTTGAACTCAGGACCTCAGGACCTTGTTCTTGCAAGGCAGGGGTGGCGCCATTGAGCTAAATCCCCAGCCCCTGACTCATTTTTTGAGACAGGATCTTGCTAAGTTGCCCAGGATGGGTTTGAATTTGTAGTCCTCATGCCTTAGCCTGAGTGCTGGGATTACAGCGGTTTATCACCACACTTGGCTTGTATGACCTAAGAACTCAAACTCTTCATTTCCACAATGAGGCAGTTTTATAGGTCACCCCACTCAATGTGAAAGGTTACCCCTGAGGAGTGGAAATACCAGAAGACAGTTACTATGGGCCATCCTAAGGGCTGGTGACCACAATCACTGATTTCATCAAACATCATTCTGGAATGTTGTCCTAGGAGAAAAATAACCACGATAGAGCTCAGTGCCTCATTTGGAGTCAGTTGTCTTTAAGTTTTAACTCTGTAAATCCAAGCAGTGATATCTATTACAACTTTAATACAGAAAAAAATCATGTTCCTGTAACTTGCTGACAATGTAGAGAGATGTGTAGGCACTGATTTGTTCATCTATGAGTACACTCTCCACGCTTCCTTGCTCCACCTC